TGGTGTTTCCAGGTTGTCCACTGGAGCTGAGAAATTCATAGAATTCGAGAGGACACATGCCTCTATGACGTGCCGTGAATAGTCCTGTCGAGACTCAAACTCGAACAGCCAGGCAGGGCAGCTCGTCAGACGAGTGCGATGTCGTATGCCACGCCCAATAACGCGGCATATTACGCGATCACATACTCCGTCGCGTGCGCACCATTTATGCAAAGACCTAATTGATTGTTGCACCTGGAAGTACTGCCGTACATCAAAGAAACGCTCCGCAATTACTCACAAGAGTTGAGGCCCTCTTTAGGGGAAGATGGTTTGGACCACATTGAACAGCTCCATACGAGCCTTGTTTCGGCCTCATTTCGGGGTAGCGACGTCTTCTGCCCAAGCGCGTACTTTGCGCTAGATTTGGATGACTTTTTTATGAATAATCAAAGGAAAGCATGGCTGGTTCAGAAAAGGATCCAATCCACGATCGCATCACTGGACCGTGGGTACCATAAGTGAGTCCGCTTGCCTCCTTTGAATGCTATAGGTTGGAAGGAAAGTCTTGTCACTGTTGTGACTTTTTTCTTTTTTATTTTCTAACTCAACATACAGTGGGAATTAGTCAACAATATACTCGTCATAGTTAGCCACTACAGTGCTCCACCAATGGACAGGTAAGCATTCCCCTCCTCCCAGAACTGAGAAGGCTGCGAGTAAGTCAGCGCCCTCTCGACTGATGTCATCAAAGTTGCTGAAAGTTTTCTTAGCTAAGAAAGCCTTGGAGGCGGAGCAGGTAGCAGTCGTAAGGGACTACGTCAGGAGAATATTATGAGCTCGTTCTGCAGCATCCCCTCGCGTTCCAGGAGCAGCACAGGAGAACCTTCTCGGAATACATGCCCGGTTTGGACTGCTAGAATGGATCTTCTCCTTGAGAGAGACAAACGGTACTGTGTGGGTTGAAATCATAGAGGACCCATCTCTCATCCCCACTAAGCAGTCTCCTGGAAACTCCTTCTGACGAGGGCAGAGAAGGGGAGACTGACCAAGGGGTACCCGGGTGCACAGCGTGCCATCGGTCAAGGTATGAATGATCCATCAAGCCAGTACTTCTTGGTAGTCAAAGGCTTACAGGCGGTGGACGACTGTCAGTTAGGTACATCCGAGTCTTGTCGCAAGACTGCGGGTGGTAGCCTCTGGATCCCCCTTGTCTGCTTCGAGAATGGTGGAGTCTTCCACTTCTTGGGGCCGTCCCAACCAAGGTTTGTCTTCAAGGATCGAGTCTCCTTTCGCGAAGCGAGCGAACCAAAGTGAACGGTCCTGATGGTAGTGGTGTCCTCCGCAATGCACTGTTGATGTTGCGGACAGCTGCCGTGGCTCCAGTGCCGCGGGGCCACTGATAGAAGATGATGACCCGAAGATGCTCCTGTGAAACTGACATCGTAATTAAACCCAGGGAAGAGCAGGCGCCCTCACACGCCTCTTGCAGGAAAGCTCCCAGAGTGTCCTACAAGCATAGCATGTTACGTCATGTACGAGCATCGAGAATCAAAAACTGTAAGCTTTTCAAAAAACACTGACAGGACTTTCCTTCCAACCTATATTATAGATTCCAAAGTGAATAGGGTCCATTAACTGATTAAAGGCTCATTCGCTAGAATGAAATATACGTTCACAGTCTGCGGGTGTTGGAAGACCACGATATTATCTTGAGCCGACGAGTTGGGGTGCTCTCTTTGCGCGTGGTTTATCGCGCGGTAAGATAAGGGTTGCATTACCGTATGAACATTTCTCATTCTAGCTAGGGACTTGCTCGTCCTTACAGCAAGGTTTTCACGGTAGCAATGGAACCATTTGATAATTTGACCAGCTTTGAGACTGCACAGCTCGTACGCAAACGCAGCGGCGTCGCAGGCCACGCCCACCACCGCGGCGCCCCGCTGTAGAGCAGCCCGGGTAGGCAGGCTAATGTATGGTAATATGATATGGTAAGACCATGTCAACTGGCTAAAACTTTATCACATGCTAGCATCACCAAATGCATCACAAATAGTGCACGAGCAAAAAACGACAAAGAAAAAAATTAAGTGTAACGAAAGAACAGATTGGCTATGTTCAGGAGAGCCTGAT